CACGTTGTTTGTTGTAATACACCTGTTGTTGTGGCTATTATATTTTATTGTAAAAAGAATTTATTTAGTTTGTTGTTGTTTTGAATCTCTTGTTATTTTGTAGTTTATTTTTTTTTACTTTTTATAAAATTAAACTAAAATACTACAAACGTCCTTATTTATTTGAGGTTGTATTTTCTTTTGCCTTTTTTTAACCTGCTGCTTCTTTATATTCTTCTTTAGTTTTTTTAATAATAAACAAATGTTACTATAAATGTTGTTGTTGTAGTTCTTATTATACGTTTTTGTTTGTTGTTGTTGTTGTCGTAGTAGTAGTAATGAGGAGGTTTAAAAACCGTGAACTTTTAATTGATCAGGCTTGGCTAAACCAGCCTTTGTCAACCATTGGCAAATGTTTTCACGTTGATCTCCCTGGAGTTGCAAAACTTCTCCGTATTCGGGATGTTCAATTACTGTGCCATTGCATGCAAATTCCTACGACAAAAAACCAGATTAATAATTATTTTTTCTTTTTTCTTTCATGTCATTGATGAAATTCTTACCTTTTTACATGATCGCACAATTTTTTTCAGGTCATACTCGGCTGATAAACCTTGTACAGTAGTTAATGTTTTGCGACCATTACGCTGCTGAATTCTTATATGCACAAGTCCGTCTTGAACATCATCATCAGCACCCTTGATTGCATCAGCAAAGGGGTCTATAAAAAAGTTAATTGTAATAGAATTATTAATTAGTAAATTAGTATAGGTATATGTATAAACAAATTAAAAATTTGTTTAGACAGTTATGCATATTTGTTAATGATTTAATTTTCTAAACATAAACACGGAAGTTTTTTTTACTATTAAGTTAATATTAACAACAAAAACAAAACTTCAAGGTTTTTCCGCATTTAGAATATTTATGACCTAAATCGTTTAAAATTAAAACAAAAATATTAAACTAAACAAAAAAATTTAATTCCAAATTGCATTATAACTTTTGTTGTAAATCTTATAAACACAACTATGACGTAAATTAGGGGGTATTTGTATTGGGAGGAGAAAGAATATGAAATTGTGTGTTTTTTAAGAGTTGCCATTATAAGATCTATAGTGTTTATACCCTACACCACTTTAGTGGGGAGGGTATATTGGATTTGTGCTGATGTTTGTAACATACAAAAATATTCGTCCTAGACCCACCTTAAAGTATACCAATCGGCTTAGAATCGTTTTCTGAGTCGATTAAGCTATGTCCGTCCGTCTTGTGCGCAAGGTACAGGTCGCAATTTTCAAGATAATTGGATGAAATTTGGCACGCACGTTTTATTTGACCTAAGGACGAAGCCTATTGAAAATGGTTAAAATCGGTCCATTATTTCACCTAGCCCCCATACAACAGAACCCCCCGAAAAGGGCTTCTGAGCTCATAATTATGTTAAATATACAGATATATCGATAAAATACGGCACAACTAAGTTTTATAGAAGTCTTGATGACCCTGCCAAATTTCATAAAGATCGGGCCCCATTTGACCCTAGCTCCCATACAAAGTCCCCTTCAGAAAATTACTTGAATGTCCCAAATTAGCTTATAAACACAAATATCGCGATGAAATTCAGCACAATAAAATATTATGTCAATATAAATATAATCACAAAATTTTATCGGGCTTGGTCCATATTTGCCCCTAGCCCCCATATAAAGCCTCTTTCGGAAAATTAGTTTTTCATCCATAAATTGCTTAAATGTATCGGAACAAGGGAATATTGAAGATAAATGCGATATTATGAAAAATAAATCACATTTAATATTCATAACTGGTGTAGGGTATCATATGGTCGGCCACGCCCGACTATAATTTCTTACTTGTTTTAATAGTGGACATTTTATAAGATCAAGTAGAAACTGTCAGATTTAGGCTTTTGCAAAATGTCAAATTTAATCAATTCCAATAAATTGGAGATGTTAACTGAAACATTTTAGAACTAGACTAAACTAGAATATAGAATAGACGATAAACTAGACTTTAGACTAGACTCTACACAAGAGTGTAGACTAAACTATAGTACAGATTATATACTGTACACTAGACTATATAGACTATAGAGTAGACTGTAGTCTAGACTTTATAGTCTGTAGACTATAGTCCAGATTATAGACTGTAGAAACACTAGACTTAGACCAGACTATGGACTACACTATATAGAAGACTATAGACTAGAATATAGAGTAGACTATAGACTAGACTAGAATACAGACGAGACTATAGTCCAGTCTATACACTACTCCATTTAGACAAGCCTTGAAGCACTACAGACTAAACTAAAGATGAGAAAAAAACCAAAATTTTTTATAAAAAAGACAAATTTCGAACATTTTCTATAAAAAGTAAAGAAAATTTGGAATATATCGATTATAATAGGAAAATCTTGATATTGGAAACTTAGGTATCAAAATTTTCGAACTTTTTGTTAGAAGGTTTACTTAATATCGCAACTATTTACTATAATAAACAATAACAAAATAATATTAAAAATTTTAAGGCAACTCTGCTCTGTTCAAACAAAAAAAAAAAAAAAAAAAGAATAAAAAGCTAAAGATAATTTCAAAAGGTAGACCACAAAAAAGAAAAGAACAGTTAAACAATTCGTACAAAAAAAAACGCAAAACAACAAAGACAAAAACGAAAAATCTCGAAAAATGAAAATAAAATAATAAAATTAACCTGAAAGTTTTTTTTTTATAATTTCTTAACAAATACATTTACAAATTGATTAAGAAAACATAAACTAAATAATGTGCACGACACACGAGTGACAGACAGACAGGCCAATTGCTGACTCATCAATTGTCGTACTTTTCCATTTGCAGCAGCTCACAAAACACAAAATAAATAAAATTAATATTTTATAAGATGAAATTATTAAAAAAATACTTTTAAACAACCTAAAACATCAGTAAATATTTTTAAAATCCCTTAAATATCTTATCAGTAAAACAATTGTGAAAATTAACACTGAGGCAAAAAATAAATATGACGCTGCAGCAGCGCAGTTGGCTTCGAACTTTGCTATTAAGATTTTAAAAAGCTTCATAACAGCCCTGGGTCTTCTCAAGGCAAATTACATGTGCCCTGTGCAGGGTTGGAAAAATTGGTACAATTGGAATATTGTCTAGTCTTAACACTATTTCATAGACTAGTGTATTAATTAGACTATAGAATAATCGATTGTCTAGTTTTCTTTGCTCTGGTCTATAGACTAGTATTTTCCCTAGCCTATAGATTAGTCTATTGTCTAGTATATCGACTAGTCTTAACTAAATGAACTTGCCTTATACCTACTGACTAAAGTCGGCTTGAAACGGTTTTGTTTGGTACAATCGGAATCAAAAATTTACACTTTTTAATGCTGTTTTTACAGCAATTTGAAAATTCCATTTGACATCCCTGGTCCTATACAAACATTCGCTGCTGCAGTGTAAAAATCAACGTCGGCAGACTCAGTCAACGCCATTTTCTACAGAGCAGCCATTTTATACAGAGTATCAACGTAATCATATCATGATTTCTAGATTTAACTTTTTATACTTTTCCCCAAAAAAAATATTAAACTTTCACAATTATTTATCACTTCTTTCGAAATATTATTTGCATATGGGGCAAACTTACCGAATGTATTTAAATTCTGGATGGACATACGATATTAAAAAAAATCACCAACAGCCAAAAAATAAAAAAGCGTGCTTGACGTGTGTATTTCCTCTTTTTTTCTGCTTTTTGTAGTCGAAAACTTTATTGTTTCTTTCTTTGTTTGCTTTCTTTTTTAGATTTCACAAAAACCCCAAAATATTTAAGGTTTTTTCTCTGTTTCTTTGTTGTTTTATTTATTTATAAATTTAATTTCTTTTCTGACTTGGAATTTATAATCTCCAGTAGAAAAAAATACTCGAGCGCGTGAAAATGTGTTTGCAACTTTTGAAGAAATTGTTAAATGAAATTGTATGATGAAAGAATAGAGAATTCCTCAAAGCCCTGAGCCGACAAACATTAACGACGGCGGCCGCTGACACTAAAAAGTATTCGCGCCGTCTTAAAATCGTAAAGTGGCAACGTTTTCAGCTATGTTTTTATTGAGCTATATGAAAAATAACCACTTTTTGGCTAGAGCCATATTTTTTCACTTATTTAATTTAATTAATTTATTATAATAAAAAAAGAGTTAAACAAAATACAATGCTACTGCTGTTTTTGCAAATTCATTTTGTATATAGTTTGCCAGCAGAAATCTGCGTCGACAAACATTATCGGAATCCGCGTATGACGACCGACGCCTATAAAATTAACAATAAGCCGTCAAAATTTTCACCGGTAATAAATAAATACCGAGTAATTTAAGTGGGATTTTGGAAAGAAATATTTAAAAAATTGGAATTACTATAAAAAAAAGGCAGTCGAATGTGGGAAAAATAATTTTCGATAACTTTTTTGCCATATTTTTAGTTAATCTCAAACACGTAGTTGTTTCATTAGACACGACACATCGTATCGTCTGAAATTTTTTCAAAAATACAGGATCAATTAAAAGTTTTTCCAAAATTTAGATTGTACTTTTGACATTTGTCTACCAATGCTGCTGGTAGTATCAAATTTAAAAATGTCTGATTTTTTTTTATAAAAAAATCTGTATTTCAATACAAGACTATTTTTTGCTGTGTATATAAATTATGTGAAAACAGAGGTCGTGGGTGGTTCCAATTGGAATCAATCACAGTAAAGTAACTTAAATAAAAAGTCTACACATTGACTTTGCAATTTATAAAAAGTCAACTTTCCCAATAGAACGTAAAATTCAAATATAGGTTTAAATATATAAATATTAAACTTTAAAAAAATTATAATAAACAAGTATTTTATTAATTTTTTTCACTTGAATTTCAGAGGTGTCCAATATTGAAATCGAGATTTTCTATTTAATAAAAATTAAAACAAAAAAACGCCTTTTTGAACTCGTGCAAAACTAATGCGAGTAAAAGAGATGGCTATACAGAGGTTAATGGGAAAAATGTAGTTAGGTTTTTCTTTAATCTCTTACAATTTGATAGTGGTGCCAGATGTGTGTAATAATATATAAAACAAATGACAAAGTTTGGCAATAAAATAAAGTGATCTTCTATTTACCTATACTTTTTTCGCGAGAGGGGTATATTAGTATGTCATTCCGTTGGTAATTTCCTCAATATAATTTTCCGAACCTATAAACTAGGGTTCTATAAATCGACTTTCGAATAATCGAACAATCGACTTTTTGTCGAAAAAAGTCGAAAAGTCGAAGTCGACTATTTTGTTCCAAAAAAGTCGATAACTCGACTATCGTTTATGAAAAGAGTCGAAAAGTCGACTTTGTAAATAAAAGTCGAAAAGTCAAAAAATCGAAAAGTCGAAAAAAATCGAAAAGTCGAAAAAAGTTGAAAAGTCGAAAAAAGTCGATAAGTCGAAAAAAGTCGAAAAGTCGAAAAAAGTCGAAAAGTCGGAAAAAGTCGAAGAGTCAAAAATTTTTAAAAAGTGGAAAAGGGGTCAAAAACTCTAAAATAGTCGGAAAAACTCGAAAAAGTAAAAAAATAGTCGAAAAAAGGTCGAAATAAATCGAAAATAGTCAAAAAGTCGTAAAAAATCAAAAAGTTGAAAAGTCGGAAAAAGTCGAAAAGTCGAAAAAAGTCGAAAAGTCGACCATTTATAAAATACTAAAAGTCGAAAAGTCGACTTTTAAATAAATGATAAAGGTCGAAAAGTCGAAAAATCAACTTTTCATAAAATGGAAAAAGTCCAAAGGTCGAAAAGTCGACTTTTAACTAAATGCAAAAAGTCGAAAAGTCGACTTTTCGTTTCAACTATAGAACCCTACTATAAACTATATACATATATATTTCGGATCTTTACAGATATTTAGGAAAAATGTTTATATAAAAAAGATATATTTTATTCTAAAAAGAGATTTTTTTTGAAAATTTTCTATAAAAAGGATACATTTTCGAAACTTTACTATGAAAAAAGCAATTTTCGAATATTGTCTATAATTTTTCGAATATTTTCTATAATACAGAGAAAATTTTAAAAATTTTGTATAAAAATGAGGAATTTTTTAACTCCTTCCCCTCAGGCCAAAATAAAACATCAATATTATTGGTTTTTTTATGTTCTGAATATTATTTTTTTTTTCTTCTAAATCTTTTAATATTTTTGTTTTTATTGGATTTTTAATCTTAAAACGTAAACTTAAATATTTATAATTATTTACGACTAAAAAAGACGCAATATTTATTATTTTAATCAATATTTTATGTTTTTGTTGTTCTTTTCTTTTTTTATATTTAAAGCTTTTTTCTATACATTTATTAAAAAAATCTTTCATTATTCAATCGTATTGAATTACGTTTATTTTATTTTTGATTAAGGGTATAAAAATATGAAAATATGCATTTAACTACGATACACGCACGCATTTTGTATTCTAGGAAGGAAAATTAGTTAAAAAATACATACATATAACACCAACTTAATGCAAGAAAGTTGTGATTTGAAATTGTTTGAGGAATTTTTATTCCGATAAACATAATTTGGAATGGATTTTTTTTTACAAAATTTTAGTTTGGGAATTTGACTTCATTCGAAATATTAGTTTCTGTTAAGAGGTCTCTATAAATTTCTTTCAATATCCTTTTTTCAATCGTGTAATTGTTTTTTCTTTGAAATTCTGTGAAATTCTTAATTATCTTGCATTAAATGAGCGTTATATGATGAGTTGTATTTATAGTTAAAATGGACTAAATCATATCAAAACAATTCTAAGTTTAGAATAAAATTGAGTTTTTGTTTTTAAGGCCAAAGATTTTATTTTTTAAAAAATAAAAAGAATTATGTTTTCAAAATATGGAGTGGACCGGTCCGCCTTAGGAAAGCAATAGAATATTTATTTTCGAAAAAATTGTATAAATGAAGAAATTTTTTTTCGAAATTTTTTTGAAAAAAATTAAATTTTTGAATTTTCAAAAAATTTCTAGAAAATAGAAAAGTATTCTAAAATTTTTCAAAAAAAAAAAAAAACATTTACAAAATTTTATAAAATAAAAAGAAAATTTTCAAAAAATTTTTTAGGAAAAAGGAGACATTTTCGAAAAAATTAAAAAAAAAATAAAGAAATTTCGAAAATTTTTAATAAAAAGAAGAAATTTCGAAAATTTCTTATAAAAAAAGAGCAATTTTCATTTTTTTTTAAAGGATAAATTTCGATTTTGGATTTTTTTTTAATTTTAAATTTCGAACAAATTTATAAAAGACAATTTCTATAAAAAAGACAAAATTTCGAAAATTTTCTACAAAAAACAGAACATTTTTGAAAATTTGCTATAAAAAAGACAATTTTCGAAAAATTTCTATAAAAAAAGTCAAATTTTCGAAAATTTTATATAAAAATAGAGTTTTTGGAAAATTTTCTATTAAAATAGAGTTTTTCGAAAATATTCTATTAAAATAGAGATTTTCGTAAATTTTCTATAAAAATAGAGAAATTTCAAAAAAGTTTCTATAGAAATTGTCTATAAAAATAGATATTTTCGAAAATTTCCTATAAAATAGAGATTTTCGAAAATTTTCTATAAAAATAGAGAAATTTCGAAAATTGTCTATAAAAATAGAGAAATTTCGAAAATTGTCTATAAAAATAGAGAAATTTCGAAAATTTTCTATAAAAATAGAGAAATTTCGAAAATTTTGTGTAAAAATAGAGAAATTTCGAAAATTGTGTGTAAAAATAGAGAAATTTCGAAAATTGTGTGTAAAAATTTCGAAAATTTTCTATAAAAATAGAGACATTTCGAAAATTGTCTATAAAAATAGAGAAATTACGAAAAATAGAGAAATTTCGAAAATTTTCTATAAAAATAGAGAATTTCGAAAATTTTCTATAAAAATAGAGAATTTCGAAAATTTTCTATAAAAATAGAGAAATTTCGAAAATTTTCTATAAAAATAGAGAAATTTCGAAAATTTTCTATAAAAATAGAGAAATTTCGAAAATTTTCTATAAAAATAGAGAAATTTCGAAAATTTTCTATAAAAATAGAGAAATTTCGAAAATTTTCTATAAAAATAGAGAAATTTCGAAAATTTTCTATAAAAATAGAGAAATTTCGAAAATTTTCTATAAAAATTGAAAATTTTCGAAAATTTCTGTAAAAATAGAAAAATTTTGAAAAATTTCTATAAAAATAGAAAATTTCGAAAATTTTCTATAAAAATAGAGAAATTTCGAAAACTTTCTATAAAAATAGAGAAATTTCGAAAATTTTCTATAAAAATAGAGAAATTTCGAAAATTTTCTATAAAAATCGAGAATTTCGAAAATTTTCTATAAAAATAGAGAAATTTCGAAAATTTTCTATAAAAATAGAGAAATTTCGAAAATTTTCTATAAAAATCGAGAATTTCGAAATTTTCTATAAAATTAGAGATTTTCGAAAATTTTGTATAGAAATAGAGATTTTCGAAAATTTTGTATAGAAATAGAGATTTTCGAAAATTTTGTATAGAAATAGAGATTTTCGAAAATTTTCTATAAAAATAGAGATTTTCGAAAATTTTCTATAAAAATAGAGATTTTCGAAAATTTTCCATAAAAATAGAGATTTTCGAAAATTTTCTATAAAAATAGAGATTTTCGAAAATTTTCTATAAAAATAGAGATTTTCGAAAATTTTCTATAAAAATAGAGATTTTCGAAAATTTCATAAAAATAGAGATTTTCGAAAATTTCCTATAAAAATAGAGTTTTTCGAAAATTTCTTATAAAAATAGAGTTTTTCGAAAATTTCCTATAAAAATAGAGATTTTCGAAAATTTCCTATAAAAATAGAGATTTTCGAAAATTTTCTATAGAAATAGAGATTTTCGAAAATTTTCTGTAGAAATAGAGATTTTCGAAAATTTTCTATAGAAATAGAGATTTTCGAAAATTTTCTATAGAAATAGAGATTTTCGAAAATTTTCTATAGAAATAGAGATTTTCCAAAATTTTCTATAGAAATAGAGATTTTCCAAAATTTTCTATAGAAATAGAGATTTTCCAAAATTTTCTATAGAAACTTTTTATAAAAATAGAGAAATTTCGAAAATTTTCTATAAAAATAGAGAAATTTCGTAAATTTTCTTTAAAAATAGAGATTTTTGAAAATTTTTTATAAAAATAGAGAAATTTCAAAATTTTCTATAAAAATAGAGATTTTCGAAAATTTTCTACAAAAATAGAGATTTTTGAAAATTTTCTATAAAAATCGAGATTTTCGAAAATTTTCTATAAAAATATAGAATTTTCTTTGAAAACAGAAAATTTTCTATAATATTCTCTTTAAAAACAGAAATTTTTAAACATAAAATTTAAAAATTCTTTTATAAAAAAAGACATTTTTGTAAATGTTATATAAAAAAGACGGTCCAGACAGATGCTTAACATATATTTCCAAAATTTAATTTAAAAAAATCAAAAAAATTATACAAATCATCATTCAAATTTTTTGTTTTATTTTATCTAAATAATAATTTAATTTAGTTTAAAAGGAATTTTTATATTTGAAAATTTATTATAAAAAGAAAAAAGAATAATATTTTCAGTTTTGATTTGGTTGTTTTTTAGAAAAACTCTCACACAAACTTACACAAAGGATTTTACTTTTGGTTTTTTTTTTCTTTTATAAATGACAATGTTAAATAAAATTAACAATTTCTAACAAAATTTTGTAAAACTTAAACATTAATAAAATATATAGAAGTAGCTTTTTCTTGTTATTAAATTTTCTACTAATTTCAATAATTAAGACCAAAACCGTTTTCAATTGAAGGCTAAAACAAATATAAAAATACATACAAAGGTTTGCAAATATAAAGGAACACACCAGAGTTATGTTAAGTAACAAGTATTATTAATGTTTTTTCATTTGTTTTTTAGTTTTAGTTTGCAAAAGAAAAGTTTTATAATATTTTAAAAAAAGGACTATAAGAATAACACTACCAGGAGGTATATATAAAATATAAACAGGAAAAAAAAGTAATTTATTTAAAAATTAAAATGACAAAAAATGTGGAAAAAAATCGACATCTTAAAAAAGAAGATATTTTGGATTTTTTTTGTTCATTTCTTGTTTCATCTTTTCTTTTTGTTAAATAGCAAAACTTCACTTGAATGTTTTCTTCTTATTTTTTTGTTTGTTTAGATAAAAGTGAGTACTGCTGCTGTTGTAGTGCTACTAGACTGTTGAAGCTGATATTGCTGTTGCTGCTGTTATTTTAGATCTATTTCCTCTTCTTCTGGTGACGATGTTGTCGATGTCTGTGTAGCCGGCAATGAAGTATTTGTATTCGCAGACACTGTTGAGGTGGCACATCTCTGCACTAAATCCGCATAGGGTTTATTGTGTAGAAAACATACTAAGACGACGGTCATATTATCACCACCCAAACCACCCATTTGACAATCGGGAGCCAGACAATGAGTCATTAGTTCTTCGCATATTTCCTCGGGATACATACCCTGACCAATGCGTGATCGACAGAAATCGATAACCTCTTTATTGCTCATAACATCCCAAATGCCATCGCAGGCTAATACCAAAAATTCCCAATCCTCATTGATTTTGCGTGTTTCTACGTCGGGGTAAGCTGTAAATATTAAAAGCAAATTACAAAAGAATTAATATATTGTTATGTAAGAAATACAATTTATTATAAATATATTTTTAAACAAAAAGAATCCAGGAAATATTCTGTTTAATATTTTATTTTTGTATATTTTATAGATACAGTACCATATTGTATAATTAAGATCAAGAAATTTTCATAACTTTTTCTAAAATAGAAACAGTTTTGAAAATGTTCCATAAGCAGATTTTTTTTTTTTTTCATTTAAAAAATAGAGACATTTGTAAAAAGAGAAATATTTTGAAAATTTTTCTATTTTCTTCAGTTCTAGTCAGTTTTAGTACAGTTCTATTTTAGTTTTAGGTCAGTTCTAATTCAGTTCTAGTTCAGTTCTAGTTTAGTTCTAGTTCAGTTCTAGTTCAGTTCTAGTTCAGTTCTAGTTCAGTTCTAGTTCAGTTCTAGATCAGTTCTAGTTCAGTTCTAGTTCAGTTCTAGTTCAGTTCTAGTTCAGTTCTAGTTAGTTCTAGTTCAGTTCTAGTTCAGTTCTAGTTCAGCTCTAGTTCAGTTCTCTAGTTCAATTCTAGTTTCAGTTCTAGTTCAGTTCTAGTTCAGTTCTAGTTCAGTTCTAGTTCAGTTCTAGTTCAGTTTAGTTCAGTTCTAGTTCAGTTCTAGGTCAGTTCTAGTTCAGTTCTAGTTTCAGTTTCAGTTCTAGTTCAGTTCTAGTTCAGTTCTAGTTCAAGTTCTAGTTCATTTCTAGAGTTCAGTTCTAGTTCAGTTTAGTTCAGTTTCTAGTTCAGTTATAGTTCCAGTTCTAGTTCCGTTCAGTTCAGTTCTAGTTAGTTCTAGTTCAGTTTAGTTCAGTTTCTAGTTAAGTTCTAGTCAGTTCTAGTTCAGTTCTGTGAACAGTTCAGTTAGTTATCGTTCAGTTCTATTCATTTCTAGTTCAGTTTCTAGTTCTTTCAGTTCAGTTCTCGTTCAGTTCTAGTTCAGTTCTAGTCAGTTAGTTCAGTTCTAGTAGTTCCAGTTTAGTTCAGTTCTAGTTCAGTTCTAGTTCAGTTCTAGTTCAGTTCTAGTTCAGTCTAGTTCGTTCTCGTTCAGTTTAGTCAGTTCTAGTTCAGTTCTAGTTCAGTTCTAGTTCAGTTTAGTTCAGTTCTAGTTAAGTTCTAGTTCAGTTCTAGTCAGTTCTAGTTCAGTTCTAGGTCAGTTCTAGTTCAGTTCTAGTTCAGTTCTAGTTCAGTTCTAGTTCCGTTCTAGTTCAGTTCTAGTTCAGTTCTAGTTCAGTTCTAGTTCAGTTCTAGTTCAGTTCTAGTTCAGTTCTAGTTCAGTTCTAGTTCAGTTCTAGTTCAGTTCTAGTTCAGTTCTAGTTCAGTTCTAGTTCAGTCTAGTTCAGTTCTAGTTCAGTTCTAGTTCAGTTCTAGTTCAGTTCTAAGTTCAGTTCTAGTTCAGTTCTAGTTCAGTTCTAGTTCAGTTCTAGTTCAGTTCTAGTTCAGTTCTAGTTCAGTTCTAGTTCAGTTCTAGTTCAGTTCTAGTTCTAGTCAGCTAGTTCAGTTCAGTTCAGTTCATTCTAGTTCAGTTTCTAGTTCAGTTATCTAGTTCAGTTCTAGTTCAGTTCTAGTTCAGTTCTAGTTCAGTTCTAGTTCAGTTCTAGTTCAGTTCTAGTTCAGTTCTAGTTCAGTTCTAGTTCAGTCTAGTTCAGTCTAGTAGTTCAGTTCTAGTTCAGTTCTAGTTCAGGTTCTAGTTCAAGTTCTAGTTCCAGTTCTAGTTTCAGTTCTATGTTCAGTTCTAGTTCAGTTCTAGTTCAGTTCTAGTTCAGTTCTAGTTCAGTTCTAGTTCAGTTCTAGTTCATTCTAGTTCATTCTAGTTCAGTTCTAGTTCAGTTCTAGTTCAGTTCTAGTTCAGTTCTAGTTCAGTTCTAGTTCAGTTCTAGTTCAGTTCTAGTTCAGTTCTAGTTCAGTTCTAGTTCAGTTCTAGTTCAGTTCTAGTTCAGTTCTAGTTCAGTTCTAGTTCAGTTCTAGTTCAGTTCTAGTTCAGTTCTAGTTCAGTTCTAGTTCAGTTCTAGTTTAGTTCTATTTCAGTTCTAGTTCAATTCTGGTTCAGTTTTAGTTCAGTTCTAGTTCAGTTCTAGTTCAGTTCTAGTTCAGTTCTAGTTCAGTTCTAGTTCAGTTCTAGTTCAGTTCTAGTTCAGTTCTAGTTCAGTTCTAGTTCAGTTCTAGTTCAGTTCTAGTTCAGTTCTAGTTCAGTTCTAGTTCTAGTCCAGTTCTAGTTCAGCTCTAGTTCAATTCTAGTTCAATTCTTGTTCAGTTCTAGTTCAGTTCTAGTTCAGTTCTAGTTCAGTTCTAGTTCAGTTCTAGTTCAGTTCTAGTTCAGTTCTAGTTCAGTTCTAGTTCAGTTCTAGTTCAGTTCTAGTTCAGTTCTAGTTCAGTTCTAGTTCAGTTCTAGTTCAGTTCTAGTTTCAGTTCTAGTTCAGTTCTAGTTCAGTTCTAGTTCAGTTCTAGTTCAGTTCTAGTTCAGTTCTAGTTCAGTTCTAGTTCAGTTCTAGTTCAGTTCTAGTTCAGTTCTAGTTCAGTTCTAGTTCAGGTTCTAGTTCAGTTCTAGTTCAGTTCTAGTTCAGTTCTAGTTCAGTTTTCTAGTCAGTTCTAGTTCAGTTCTAGTTCAAGTTCTAGTTCAGTTCTAGTTCAGTTCTAGTTCAGTTCTAGTTCAGTTCTAGTTCAGTTCTAGTTCAGTTTCTAGTTTCAGTTCTAGTTCAGTTCTATTCAGTTCTAGTTCTAGTTCAGTTCTAGTTCAGTTCTAGTTCAGTTTCTAGTTCTTCTAGTTCAGTTCTAGTTCAGTTCTAGTTCAGTTCTAGTTCAGTTCTAGTTCAGTTCTAGTTCAGTTCTAGTTCAGTTCTAGTTCAGTTCTAGTTCAGTTCTAGTTCAGTTTAGTTCAGTTCTAGTTCAGTTCTAGTTCAGTTCTAGTTCAGTTCTAGTTCAGTTCTAGTTCAGTTCTAGTTCAGTTCTAGTTCAGTTCTAGTTCAGTTCTAGTTCAGTTCTAGTTCAGTTCTAGTTCAGTTCTAGTTCAGTTCTAGTTCAGTTCTAGTTCAGTTCTAGTTCAGTTCTAGTTCAGTTCTAGTTCAGTTCTAGTTCAGTTCTAGTTCAGTTCTAGTTCAGTTCTAGTTCAGTTCTAGTTCAGTTCTAGTTCAGTTCTAGTTCAGTTCTAGTTCAGTTCTAGTTCAGTTCTAGTTCAGTTCTAGTTCAGTTCTAGTTCAGTTCTAGTTCAGTTCTAGTTCAGTTCTAGTTCAGTTCTAGTTCAGTTCTAGTTCAGTTCTAGTTCAGTTCTAGTTCAGTTCTAGTTCAGTTTAGTTCAGTTCTAGTTCAGTTCTAGTTCAGTTCTAGTTCAGTTCTAGTTCAGTTCTAGTTCAGTTCTAGTTCTAGTCCAGTTCTAGTTCAGTTCTAGTTCAGTTCTAGTTCTAGTCCAGTTCTAGTTCAGTTCTAGTTCAGTTCTAGTTCAGTTCTAGTTCAGTTCTAGTTCAGTTCTAGTTCAGTTCTAGTTCAGTTCTAGTTCAGTTCTAGTTCAGTTCTAGTTCAGTTCTAGTTCAGTTCTAGTTCAGTTCTAGTTCAGTTCTAGTTCAGTTCTAATTCAGTTCTAGTTCAGTTCTAGTTCAGTTCTAGTTCAGTTCTAGTTCTGTTCTAGTTCAGTTCTAGTTCAGTTCTAGTTCAGTTCTAGTTCAGTTCGTTCAGTTCTAGTTCAGTTCTAGTAGTTCTAGTTCAGTTCTAGTTCAGTTCTAGTTCAGTTCTAGTTCAGTTCTAGTTCAGTTCTAGTTCAGTTCTAGTTCAGTTCTAGTTCTCTAGTTCAGTTCTAGTTCAGTTCTAGTTCAGTTCTAGTTCAGTTCTAGTTCAGTTCTAGTTCAGTTCTAGTTCAGTTCTAGTCAGTTCTAGTTCAGTTCTAGTTCAGTTCTAGTTCAGTTCTAGTTCAGTTCTAGTTCAGTTCTAGTTCAGTTCTAGTTCAGTTCTAGTTCAGTTCTAGTTCAGTTCTAGTTCAGTTCTAGTTCAGTTCTAGTTCAGTTCTAGTTCAGTTCTAGTTCAGTTCTAGTTCAGTTCTAGTTCAGTTCTAGTTCAGTTCTAGTTCAGTTCTAGTTCAGTTCTAGTTCAGTTCTAGTTCAGTTCTAGTTCAGTTCTAGTTCAGTTCTAGTTCAGTTCTAGTTCAGTTCTAGTTCAGTTCTAGTTCAGTTCTAGTTCAGTTCTAGTTCAGTTCTAGTTCAGTTCTAGTTCAGTTCTAGTTCAGTTCTAGTTCAGTTCTAGTTCAGTTCTAGTTCAGTTCTAGTTCTGTTCTAGTTCAGTTCTAGTTCAGTTCTAGTTCAGTTCTAGTTCAGTTCTAGTTCAGTTCTAGTTCAGTTCTAGTTCAGTTCTAGTTCAGTTCTAGTTCAGTTCTA